CTTGCATCTGGCCCCGGTCATGGTGAATGAGGTCGCCAGGATCTCGCACAGACGTTTGAATACATCACGCACCGTCAATAAGCTTGTGCACCGGTCACGGTGCTTAAGCCGGGATCGTCACAAATCGTGGTGGCTTCCACGTGGAAAGTGCATGACTCCTGCTGTAAGACGACTTGTTTGGTATGTAGCAGCTACAGGGCATGATCATCAATGAAACATGTGTCGTCACTTCGCACAACTAGGTGATTGCATGAAAGATTCGATTGCCGGAAACACGTCCATTCCTTGTGCTGCGATAAGGGCACACATAACCCGTTCCGCAAAGAGCAGGTGCAATCGCGCCAACAATGACTTCGTGTAACAACTCGTTCTTTGTTGCACCACAGTATCACGAGCTGACAGTTGCGCGAATCAACGATGCCCAAAGTCCACAAATTGTAGATTAATTGAATGATACGCGTCGTCGCCTGGTAGTTGTTCCCACGAAACGTGCAGAAGACGAGTCTAAATCACAACATCACCCTCCAAAACGCTCGAATCAAACTAATCGACATTGCACTCACTGAGTTATAAGGGGGAGGCTTTCTCCACAATCTTATCCGAAATGGAGGTGTTCAGCCAAAGCCTCAGCATGGCGGCGAGCATTCTGACCATCGTTGCAGCCCTAACTAATCGCGCTCGCCAAAGAAGTTGTCTAGCGCCGAGGCCCAAGCTATTGGTATGTTGTGAAGCAGCTGTATAGCGACAATGAGCTGACTAACGACACGAACAGAGGTGTCTAATAACGACCATATTTCGAAGACAACAGCACGTTCTCTCGTATAGCGCAACAGGCGAATATAACGAATGGGACAGGCCGGCACGAGTCGAGCGTTCTAAGTTAGATGGGAGAATTGAGCTTCATTGAGACCGACCCTAAAGTTATCAACCGTTGACATTATGCGCCTCCAGCATCGCTATAATTCATGCTCCTCAACACACTACCACGATGCTATACAACATAGCACATGTGGTCTGCGGACGCGATAATAACTGATGAAATCATTTACCGGTTCTTGCCCCACTTTTATAATAGCGTCCATATAGAGAAAGGAAAATGAGCGAAGGCCAAACACGCAAAGGAACGTAGGAAATATCAAAGCTATGAATACTTGAAGTACAAGTGAAGATCTCCCAACAAGTGACGAGTTAGCGGAGTGAAGTTAGTGATTCACGACTGGTGTCTCTGCTTGTAATATCGACAAGAGCACGCGCTACAGTCTAAGCGAAAAGACTGGGAGTCCGCGGAGCATAGTTCACGGATCCATCATTACCACATTCTAGCGGTTGGCACTCGATATTCCTCGTGTCTTTCAACAACCGGTTCTGTGCGTATTTCTTGTACGCTTACCAAATCGATATTGGTCTGGTCCACATTCGAAGGTTCACTAATGGTATTGTGCTCCACAGCCCTAGTGCTTGATCTGCGCTTTGAGATCGGTCTCGCGTCTCGAAGTGCCCGTTCATCTCTCGCCCTCTCCAAATCCTCGTAGCTCATCACCCTCGCTGTTCCGATGACTTTTGGTCTCGTGGATCGCCGTACCCGAGCTTCGCTATTGGTCTTTTGCAGGAAGTCGTTGCGCCGCTCGAGCAGTGCGTACTCGGCGAAAGAAATTTCAGCAGCTTTTGATAGTTTCTGAACATGCTTCTGTAAGCGGTGGTGGGAACCGCTGTCCAGATCTTGTACATCGCGTCGGATCACATCGCGCAAAGCTGTGATGCCTGCAAGATCTACCGGAGTTACAGGTGTCATGGGTATTGTCGGTGTGGATG